TTCTCTTGCATGCTAAAATCTTCTGTTGCACTCACGATATAGTCCTCCCTTGCACACAAATCTAATCTAATCTAATTCTGCTCTTAAAAAGCCATGCCAGTGTGCTTTTAAAAGTCACTTTCCAGACTATGTAACGCTCAAATATGTTAGTTTTTTCCTCAAAATCCTTCAATACCACTCTCCATTGCTGATAGTGGAGCTAACAGAAAGCTGGAACTATCAGCTGTTTTGTCGCGTTATGTTTCTTAAATACAGGAACCGATTTAAAAGATGTATTCAGGAAAAGAGAAACCAGCTTTTTCTCTCGTCAGAAAGTTGTGTTTCTCCTGAATGTCTAGAGAAACGTCATGGAAAAGTTGTGTGTGAAAAGAGGAAGGAAAACAAAGAGGACGGTCACAGGTCAGAAGGATCTGAACACGTTTCATATCTCCTCCTCTTCCACTAGCAGTGTTTATCACTAGCAGTGTTTAATCTCACCGACATGGTACAGCCAGAAGAAATTGAACAATGCTTTAGTGCAGGGGTGTCAAACTCGAGGCCCGGGGGCCAAATCCGGCCCGCGACTTCATTTCATGTGGCCCGCAAGAGCTCTGAAAGAATGTAATATGTTTATTATACAGTTACATGCCGATTTACAGAAGCACGATGTCCATAAACTACATGTCCCACAATGCATCTTAAATTTGACTTTTTTCTCAGAATTTGCCTTTTTTTCTCAAAATATGTCTTTTTCTTAGAATTTGACTTTTTCTCAGAATTTAACTTTTTTTCTCAAACTATGCCTTTTTCTTAGAATTTGACATTTTTTTTAAATTGTTACTTTTTTTTCAAAATGTCACTTCTTTTTTGATTTTGACTTTTTTTTCAGAATTTGGCTTTTCTTTTTAAATAATTTTGTGACATTCTCACTGAAGAGACTTGCACTTATTTGCCCTAGACTTCTTCTTTCAGACGTAGTTATTTATGAAGTTTTTACCCTATCCAATAATAATCCAATGCAGAGGAAATAAAGTAATATAATACATTATTTTATATATATTAAATATTTATATATGTATGTTTATATAGTCATAAAGTTACAACCGGCCCTTTGAGTGCAACCATAATGCTGATGTGGCCCGTGATGAAATTGAGTTTGACACCCCTGCTTTAGCGGCTCAATAACAGAAATGAATGGCGGGACAACGAGTCTGTACACTTGCTCCAAACATCTGTTTTGAGGCATGAGGTTATTGAATATGCGCTGTTGTAGTGCTGAGTGCTGCTACAAGTATGCTGAAGCTCATCTCAAGAGATTCAGTGATGTGAGCCAAAAGCTATCAGGGTCCAGATAAAGAGGCCGAACCTGACAGAGTCTGGCAAGGTGGAGACAACTTTAACTCATGCAGGGATAAGAAATAAGCTAGCACACTCATACTGCTTTTATATAGCATGACAATGTCAGAATCCCTTATTTGGAGCATTATTCTAGTAGAATGAAATGGCTGCGTGCAGGTGAGAGGATGTTAGGTTTGTGGTTGTCTGAATTCCCTAAATATGAACTTTTTTATCAGTGGAATAACATGTTTTCTCACAAAAACACATTAGATAACTAATTTATATACTGAATATGATCAGATTTGTGTGTGACATGCTACCTGGTTTTGTCGTTATGTTCCCTTCAACCATTCATTTATTTTTACCAATCGGAGCTACGTTTTTTTATTTCATGGAAATGTTTAAGGCAAGGCAAGTTTATTTATATAGCACTTTTCTGTACGCGACAATTCAAAGTGCTTTACTAAACAAATTAAAATACTTTTTATGAATAAATACAGTAAAAACACATTATCTAATGGCATTTTACAACAGGCATTACAAAGCAAAGATAATAAAATAATAAAAATAAACACCACAGGTATACAATACATGTTTAAAAGGCATACTGTAGTTCGAATATGAGCAGCTCAATTAAAAGCAGCGGCAAAGAGATATGTTTTTAGTCTCGATTTAAAAATGGTAAGCATTTCTGCGGACGTGCATGATTTGGGTAGTTTGTTCCAGAGTGTCGGGGGTTTAAGGAATCCAATGTCTGTTAACACATCCAGCAGACTTGGAGCAACATCAATATTCACTTAGGATAGTTTTTCTGTCCACTTGGTAAATGCAGGTCCAATCTGTTTCCTTGTTGCTCGGTTTTGGTCTCCACCACCTCCTGATCCGGCCACTTGAGCAGCTAAATGCTCCCCTATGTTCACCAGCTACTCGTTTCCCATTTGGTTTGGGGAAGTTGATGTCGATGGGTTTATTAGAGATGAGTTTTTGCTGAAATAGGCTGCTGCATCTGGAAATGAAACTGAAGCAATGCAGTATGGTTGTGTGGGTGGCAACATCAAAACAATGAGCTGAAAGACACTAACACGCTCTGTAGAGCTTAGAGTAACTGCACAGTTGTTTGTCACTTTTACGGACACCCTTTCATATTAGCAAAGTTATCCATCATTCCTGCAGATTTCAAGTCAAACCAGTGCACCAGTCGACTTCTTCCCAAACTAAAAGGCTGTGAAACATGTGCTCAGACACGCATAATCCCTCACAAAAACATAGTGTTTGCAGACAGACGATCTGACAGCAGCTCGTCAGGACTTGTTGAAGCTGATGTTAAAACAGCTGAGCTTGCACTTTTGTATCCCCTCATATCATCAATAAAATAGTAAATGTCCCGCCTTCTGAATGCCTGAGCTGAGGTGTCATTTCAGGACACATTCCCAGAGTTGGTACCATGACTCATTTTAGGAGTGGTGCTCCAGACTCGGACAAACAAGAAGGATTAATTTGATCAGTCTCAAAGTACAGACCATGGGTGACATGTTAATATAAAAACTGGAATAATGTAAGCAAGTCCAGACAGTACGTTGCACAACCCTGACCACCAGATTGATGATTAAACTTCACGTTTCCTGTTCATTTTCAAGAAGTCCCTCTCTGACCTCAGAGGATCTGGGTTTAATCTCAGACTCTGTTTTTCTTCAAAGATTCCAGAGAAAGACTTTATTGTCATATGCACAAAAGTTCAGTGTAGTTTTTTGGCAGTGAACATTTTAAATCCCAGGCTCCTCCAACATTAGACATAAAAAGAAACAATAGTATAATAATATAATAGTGCAGATATAAAATGCTGGAATAAGTAATATATGTATAGGTATGGAGTCAAATAAGATCTATACGGTGTTAAAGACAACAACTCTCATTTTCCAGCAATACTTCACAAAGTCAAACTCTGTCTTTTGTTATTGTTTTGATGAAAATGACATGTCTAAATTAATAAATGTTCCACCTATCTTTGGGCCTTGAAATGAGTTCATGCTCTCATGATTTTCCTGTCTGAACAAACAGAAAAACAAAACCGAAGTAGCTGCTTATTTATTTTTCTTTACATCCAAAAGGATTGGTTGATGTACTAATTGTTGATGTCCAAGAGTGTTCAAATACATCCAGAAATATCTGTTTCACACGATTTGGGAGGTTTTAGGATCCATAATAAAGCCACATGCTGCTCTTTACAACAGCTCAGATCCTTTTGGGATTTCTGTTAGATCAGTTTTCCGCTGCAGGATCATCACCAGCCGTCTTTTCAGGGTCTGAAGACCAGCAGCTGCCTTTGTGTGTCCGTCGCCTCTCAGTACGGATGTTCTTCCTGCTATTTCTCTGCATATTTCTCCAGATACAGACTGTAAACTCTCGGATTTGACCCGCTGGCAGGCTGCTTATCCCTCTATGATAGCAGCCTGCTGAATGTAGTCTTTGTGGAGGGTCCTGGAGCAAATAGTGTGAAATAAGCCCGTCATGTAATACCTCCCTGATTCCAGCTGCTGTCCTCCCTCCATCAAGATCGCTCTTGTCTGCAGAGGCTCAGCGGTCACATATACGACCGAGAGAAATCAGAGTCTAAACAAACGTAGTGGTACACAGCGTTCCCCCCTAAAGACTTGCCTGTCAGTTGGGTTTATTCCAGTGCAGATAACGTGTGTGTGTGTGTGTGTGTGTGTGTGTGTGTGTGTGTGTGTGTGTGTGTGTGTGTGTGTGTGTGTGTGGTGTGTGTGTGTGTGTGTGTGTGGTGTGTGTGTGTGTGTGTGTGTGTGTGTGTGTGTGTGTGATGTGTGTGTGTGTGTGTGTGTGTGTGTGTGTGTGTGTGTGTTGGTGTGTGTGTGTGTGTGTGTGTGTGTGTGTGTGTGTGTGTGTGTGTGTGTGGTGTGTGTGTGTGTGTGTGTGTGTGTGTGTGTGTGTGTGTGTGTGTGTGTGTGTGTGTGTGTGTGTGTGTGTGTCCGAAAAACCAAATATATGATTTTTTTAATTCCGATTTTGACAGCTCATGAGAGGAGACTGATACAGATGAAATTGTAAAAGATGATCAATGTTTTGGCCTTGTTCCTTAGTTTAAATGAAAGGTAATGCTATATCAATTAATGGCATTTTTCAAGGTTCTTTTTTACACAAAGAAATGCTTTTCCCAGTTCGATGTGGAAACAAACTTCACTGGCTTGACTTCAACACCATTCAACACCTTTCAGGATTTATTGAAACGTTGAATGGGAGCGAATCCCTGCAGCCAGGCTCTAAATCTGGAAGAATGCGTTCCAGAAAGGGGAATTTGTTCTTCTGGAGCATCATAAACATGAATTATGACTTGTTTTTATCACCCCGTTTACATTCCTCCTCACTTGTTTGACACAAATGCATTTTATTTTATATATTTGATATCGTATACCTACATTTTTGTTTGCAATATTTTATGTATTCTTTCTTCTTTTTTCATTTGTGATTTTTTTTTAAACTAAACTTATTCAAAAAGAGTTTCTGGATAGTTGTCTGCAAATGAGGATAAGTAAATACCAGCAGGTCCCTCAAAGTGTTATTATAACAAGTATTCAAGTGTTTAAGGATCATTTGGAAGTATCTGAAAAAGAGTACCTTGTTTGAACAGTGTCTTATTTGCCCCTCTTTGCTCTTCTCTCGCTCAGGTCACGGTGAATGTCACTGCGGGGAGTGTAAATGCCACGCAGGCTTCATCGGGGACAACTGTAACTGCTCCACGGAGACGTCCAGCTGCATCGCGGACGACGGGCAGATGTGCAGCGGCAGAGGGAGCTGTGTGTGCGGCCGCTGTCAGTGCAGCGAGCCGGGGGCGTTCGGAGACACCTGTGAGAAGTGCCCCACCTGCCCCGATGCATGTGGCACCAAGAGGTACATAACAGAGACTGCATGATCAATACACAATAAAATGAGCACTTAACATCCCTGATGGAGACAAAAACTGTTTAACAATTCAAAAGGTTTTATTGTTATATGCACAAAGCTACAGTGTAGAAATGGCAATGAAAATCTTCTGACCTGAGCTCCTCCAACCGTCCAACATATATAATAAAATGCAAAATAAAAAGTAGTGCAAAAAGTATATTTAAGCAATAGCTCACGACAGGCCGTGGTGTAATGAGCATATACCACGGCCTGAAGTGAGCTATTGCTTTTATAAAACGGTTACCAAGTGTGGCAATATGAAAGAAAAATACACACTCTAATTTAAATAGTTTTTATTAGTAAATAATGATGTTCAAAATAAAATAGTCCCTCCGTTGCCTTCTGCACAAAACATAGTGCGAGGTGGCTGCTATGCAACAACACTAACAGCTAGCGAGCATATTAGACCGAGAGCGTTGATCCATTATTTGGCTATTTATTAACATTAATGTGTATGTTGCCGTTTATTGTGCACCCACTGAAAAACTGTCCAGCATCAGTAGCATGGCTTACGTGGTCACTTGTATAGGCTGAGGTTGTTCTAGGCTGTTGCTTGGCGTGGCGAGAATATTGCTCCACTTTCTCCGGTCCCCGAGATTCGGCTTCCAGTAGCTCTGGAGAGAGCTTTCGCACCTGTGGCCACTAACGGTCATAATTTCTCTGCTTTGTTTCAAGACCCGCATCAGAAAGCTTTTGAATGGTGGTACTTTTCCAGTTGGTCTACCTGCTCGTTTAGGTGCTTTTTTTCCTGGAGATAGGCACTCCTCAATCCACTCCTCCATAGTAAGGCCACCCCGGAGGTCGAAGTTAACCCGTTTCCATCTTAAGCTTTGGGTTAGTTTCATACGGACGTAATGTAACAGCTGTAACGGTTGTAGCTTTTTCTCAGACGCGGAGGGATACTGACTTGTGAAAAGTAACTACAATTCTACCCGTGATATACGCTCATTATATCACGGCTAAGAACCAATCAGATTGCTTGATTTGACTTGTCCGTTTTTTATAAACATTGTTAGAAAAATCTCACTCGTCACCAGCTTGAGCTTCAATCTCAGGATCCATGTGTTATTATCCTCTCAAGATGGAAGTAGTCATCACATACAGAGCATTTGGTACAACTAGTTCCTGAACAGTGTCCTTCACATGCTGATATGTACACAGCTACAGTTGGGATACCTTTGTTATCATGTTACTCTGATAATGGAAGAGGACATTCACTATTTTCCCAACATACCTGTAGATAGAATATGATAGGTACAAGAACAGAATATGAAATAAAATAATGTAAATTAAGACAAAATTAAATACGGTATATTGCGTTGATAACCATTTATATAAATAAGTAGATTGCAAGATGACAACAGGAATGTTTATCGGGGCACTCGACAATCGGTCGCATGTATTATATTTATAGTGGTGAAAGAAATACTTGGATCCTTTACTTAGGTAAAAGTACTAATATTAAACTGGATGAATTCTCTATTCTCTGTTATGCTAGTACTCTGTTATGCTAATACTATACAGTATAAAATGCATGCTTTAGAGGTGTTACTCATGTAAAGTAACTACTAACCTGAAATGTAAAAAATGTACAATATTTTCCTTTGCATTGTAGTGGAGTAGTATAAAGTAGTATAAAAGATGATACTCAGGACAAAACCATGCAAAAATAAATAAATCATAAAACAACTTAAAGGGGACCTATCATGCAAAATGCACTTTTTGATGTCTTTTATACATAAACATGTGTCCCCGGTGTGTCAGGGAACTCACGCAGCGTCAGAAAATAAAACCCTTTCTCTTTTCCTCCGTACCCAAATCTTTTAAAAACGTGGGTACAACGAGCGGATACAGATTTGCTGCCGATATGACGTCAAATCGGCGGCGGACCCACAGAAAGTTGCTATCAGAAACAAGGCCTGACGTGTTTTTTGGACGTAATCTCGTCTTTGTTTACATTAGCAAGCCTCGCTAACACTCAGAGCTAAGCTGTACTGGAGAGCACATGTGTTTTAAAAAGCAGGAAATAAAAAAAGGAACTCACCTTATGATAAACCCGCAAGAGAAAAAGCATTTGAGCTGCATACTATTTCAGAAATAATCCTTGATGTGGTTTAGAACAGGATGGCGTTTTATCACAGCAGAATTTTACTTTATCTCCGGTAGAATTCTGATCAGGCATTAGCTCCGCCTCCTTTTTTTTGTTTTCAAGCTAAGGACCCAAAATCTGTGTTTCTCTAACAGGGCTGCAAAAGAGGGGTTTGAGCAGTTTGAGGCATGGCTACAATGGGGGATCTGTTTGGGATTTTAAGCAAAAAACTTCACAGACATGTTTTGTGTAGGTATGGCCCTACAATATATTTTTCATAGCATAATAGGTCTACTTTAAATATGAATTGTAGTGGGGTTAAGGTATGAAGTAGCATGAAAATAAATTACTCAAGTGCCTCATCTCTTTGATTAAGTGCAGTACTTGAGTAAATATACCTAGTTACATTTCCCTGTATGTTATGATGCTTATATCCTGTGTAGAGGCAGTGGATGGGTTTATTATGTGAGAGGAAATGTGGAAAATTAAACAATGTGCCCTCAGTCAACTTCAGTCGTCTACAGGGGAAAGGTCAAACCATCGAACCCATGAAGACTAAAAACCTTCGCATAACTCACTCACTTATCGACTAATCTCAGCTTTGATGGCCGCGGTCCTAACAGATTTGTTCAGATAACTATCATGCCATTCGTGACCTTAAGAAATGAAACCGTTGCCCCCCCCCCCCTTGAACTTCAGTGTTTCTCGTGTGGTCTCATGTTAGAGGTGGAGGTCAAAAGCCTGTCAGACGTCTAGTAAAAGAGAGGAGTCTTCTGAGGACATGAGAACTGCTGAGTCATCCTAACATACACATGGAAATCTTTATGGAACCACCTTTGACCTCTGGCTTAAGTTTAGAGACATGTCGTCAACTGTAACAGCAGTTAGGAGGTTTTTACAGATGAAGTGGAGCTGAGCAGTAGAAAGAAATCTCAAGCTGATAGCATGAGAAGTATTTTGATAGTTGTGTAACATGACTCTGCATTTTAACCTTAAACCGTGTCACACATCAGTCCTAAATTAGAATTATTTTATACTTTTTTTTATAGAGACTGGCATTAGTTGAGTAGTTTAAAACATGCATTAGAAAGGTGCTGGTTTGACTTGATTTCTGACAATATTTGATATGCATTTGTTTTAATAATAATAATTAGTTCAAACGAATGCAGTCTAATACAACAGTTTTGCAATGAAGCTGAGCAACCGTCTCAAGCTTATAGCAAGAGAAATAGTTTGATATTAGGGTTATAGTGTAAGAAACTATCATTTCACATTTCTTTTTAACTTATTTTAGTCCAAACAGTGTCAATATTATATATTGTTTTTATCGTTTTTTGTAGAGACTTGCATTACATGAGTTGTTTAAATATGCAATGGATAGGTACAGCTTTTAGTTGTTTTCGGACAAATTGAAATGCCATATTTTCAATATTTAATATGCATTCCGTTTCAGTTTATTCGGCACACCCATTTAAATCTAATGCAGTCTAAAACAACAGTCTTGCAATGAAGCTGAGCAGCTGCCAACATTGTACGTTAACAGCGAGAAAAATAGTTTAATAGTAATGAGGGAGGCGTGTGGTGCAGTGGGTTGAGCGTTGGTGTTCGGATCAGGGGAGCACAGGTTCAAACCCCACTGCAGTCAATATGTCGTTGTGTCCCTGAGACACTTCACCCCAAATTGCTCCTGTGGGGATTGTCCACAGTATTGAGTATGTAAGTCGCTTTGGATAAAAGCGTCTAACAAGTGACATGTAATGTAATGTAATGTAATGTAATGTAATGTAATGTAATGTAATGTAATAGTGTGACATGACACTGCATTTAAAAAAATCATTGGTTTCACTGCAGTCCGTAAATCAGATGTATTTGTGTTTTTGATATTCTTGCTTTGGATCAACAACAAATAGGTAGTTTTTATTTAGTCATGTGGACTCTGGAATGTGCTTTGCAGCGTACAGAGAGGTGTTTCTGTTGTTTTGTCTCGTCTCAATGATTAAACTCCCCATTTTCTCAACATCAGCGTCAGAAATGAAGGTCACTGACTGCAGTTTATTTGTGTTCCCAGCTGTTTACAGTCTGCTGTGTTTGTACGCAGCGCAGTGGGGCATTTCTCACAGCTGACGCACCCAGAGTAAAAACAACAAACACATTTAGAAGAAGGCTTTGTGTGAATGTGGGCTTTCCGAGTGCTTTATAGCTCATGAATAAAGATAAAAGTACTAATGTTTAACTGAAGTTGTAATTCCGTTTAACTCTCTCTCTCCTCTGCTGCAGGGAGTGTATCGAGTGCAGACTCTTCAACTCTGGACGGCTCGCGGATAACCAGACCTGCCAGCGCCTCTGCAAGGATGAAATCATCACCATGGAAACACTCGGTGAGTTCCCACACACACACACACACACACTGGCACAGACACATATTCACATCTGTAGCATCTGCAACAGTTTCACTTTTCACATGACATACTTCTTCCACTGTCACTTTTTATTAGACTTTTCTTTCTGTGGAGCTCTGACAGAGTTAACGATCATCCAGTGATTTCCGTTAGTATGACATATTTAACACCTCTGATGTGAAACACACACACACACACACACACACACGCACACACACACACACACACTACAGCCTAACACCATTGTGTCAATGCTAGATATTTTAAATCACGCTGACAGTATAATTAAAACAAGATGGAGTATATTTACTAACATCCAAATGTGTCATGAGTATGTTACTTTAATCACATGTATGACCAATCACAACAGAGCCGGCCAGCTAACCAATCAGAGCAGACTGGGCTCTGGTTTCAGACAGAGGGTGAAAAGAGGTGCTGCAGCACAGGCAGTATGAGAAAAATAAAGAGCTTTTTGAACATTAAAGAATGGAGACATGTCCCAGTAGAGACACTACATACTGATATACACCTGAACATCAGCAGGAGAGGACTCTTTAAAGTAGAGACACTACATACTGATATACACCTGAACATCAGCAGGAGAGGACTCTTTAAAGTAGAGACACTACATACTGATATACACCTGAACATCAGCAGGAGAGGACTCTTTAAAGTAGAGACACTACATACTGATATACACCTGAACATCAGCAGGAGAGGACTCTTTAAAGTAGAGACACTACATACTGATATACACCTGAACATCAGCAGGAGAGGACTCTTTAAAGTAGAGACACTACATACTGATATACACCTGAACATCAGCAGGAGAGAACTCTTTAAAGTAGAGACACTACATACTGATATACACCTGAACATCAGCAGGAGAGGACTCTTTAAAGTAGAGACACTACATACTGATATACACCTGAACATCAGCAGGAGAGGACTCTTTAAAGTAGAGACACTACATACTGATATACACCTGAACATCAGCAGGAGAGAACTCTTTAAAGTAGAGACACTACATACTGATATACACCTGAACATCAGCAGGAGAGAACTCTTTAAAGTAGAGACACTACATACTGATATACACCTGAACATCAGCAGGAGAGGACTCTTTAAAGTAGAGACACTACATACTGATATACACCTGGACATCAGCAGGAGAGGACTCTTTAAAGTAGAGACACTACATACTGATATACACCTGAACATCAGCAGGAGAGGACTCTTTAAAGTAGAGACACTACATACTGATATACACCTGAACATCAGCAGGAGAGGACTCTTTAAAGTAGAGACACTACATACTGATATACACCTGAACATCAGCAGGAGAGGACTCTTTAAAGTAGAGACACTACATACTGATATACACCTGAACATCAGCAGGAGAGGACTCTTTAAAGTAGACACACTACATACTGATATGAACCTGAACATCAGCTGTGTTAAATATAAATACTCTGTTTTGTTACATTGTTCACCCTGGAGTGCAACAGTCAGCAGATGTTTAGGAATGCATTAATAAGCACACAGTGATTTATGGCCTTCGTGATGCTGCGTGCGTTAGAGAGGAGACGGACGGCTGTGTGTTTAGTTTCAGGAACTGTTATAAGAGCAGTCCATATTGGCCCCGGTCCAACATGTTTCACAGCTTTCCGGATAGTTCTGCACTCGGTCCGGCGTTAATGGACTCCACATGTACATTCCAGAAAGTTTGAGCATGAAATAGAGCAGGAGGGGTGACGGGGGGGCAGAGTGACCTCACCCTCGCCTGGGAGCTGTTTGAGTGTTTCTGGGTGATGAAGACTGACTGAAAACGAGGAAACCCAAACTATCAGCGTCTCGGCTCTCAGTTATGATTTCACAGCAGAGAAATTCAGGCGATGTGAGCAGCTTTCTCGAGCTTTTCCCTCCTCAGTTTAACCCCATTTTTCACATATTTCTCTCTTTGCTCTTGAATCTGAAACCAAACCTCGACAGATTATAAAAATGATGGTATGATAATATCTTCTCCAAAAACACAAGTAGAAAGTGAGGCCTTGCAGAATGAAGAAACAATTAAAATACAGAACTGTAGATGGATCCTTATCCGATTACAAGTACATTCTCCTAAAATAACAAGTATAGTCTTTCAGAGAGAATATAAATCAACTAACACACATTTTGACATATAATAATTTAAGACTGAACTTAGATTTGTCTAGGTTATAATTTTGCTTTTCTGCATCAGATTTGATCTGTAACAAGAAATTAACCAAAATTATTATAACTGATTAAAACGCAGTTTAACCCCACCCCTCCTTTCTCGCCAAACGTTGACAGATAATAATAAAAAAAACTATATTTTACTAAACACAAGTGTAAAGTGAGCTTGTACAGAATGAGGAAAATATTTAAAATAGAGTAAAGTAGATGGATCCTAATTCAATTACAATAACATCTTCCCTAAAATAACATAAATAGCAAATAAGCTTAAAAGTAGTTAACAAAAACAACTTAATCAGATGTTTTTTAACATGCTGTGCTCATTAAAAGTGAACTGTTGATATGACTGAACTAAGTTTTTCTCCACCTTCTTTTGGAAATCAGTTTAAGGAAAAGAGCTGATGATTGTAGCTGCTATAAGATATGTTCTAATCCTTTTCAGTGTTTCTTTCAGTAACAGTTTGTGTTTCTCTCTCTCTCTTGTCCCTCTCAGACACGGAGGACCCCGGCGCGGTGCTCTGTCTCTATAAGACAGAAAACGACTGTGTCATGAAGTTCACGTATTCTGAACACGCCAGCGGACAATCCATCCTCACCGCTCTGAAAGAACCAGGTCAGCGCTGCAAACAACAACACATTACATTCCTCTGAGGGCATTTAGAATATATTGATGGTGTTAAAAAAAACACAAGGATCCACACACACCACACAAATAAGTACGTTTTTTCTCATGTAGCATCAAGGGACTACTTCTTGCATTCATTTGTGCAACCTTTTGTTGTACAATGAGAATAAAGGAACCTTCCATTTGAACACTAGCTTGACTTTTAAAGGTCTAACAGACTTTGTAAGGCCTTTGTTGTTGATGTTCGCTGCCATTACCGGATCCAGAGATGGCAAAAGTACACACATCCTTTACTCAAGTAGAAGTACAGATACTCGTGTTTAAAAATACTCTGGTAAAAGTAGAAGTACTGACTAAACTTCTGTACTCAAGTAAAAGTAAAGAGGCTTTGAAATGTACTTAAGTAAAAAGTACCCGTAACTAGCAGCTGTTTTAAAGAGTACCTGACCTCCCTTTATATTAATAGAACAATAATGTCATTGTTAGCTAATGAATGTTTCCATGCTGAACAACGGCAACATGACAACGTTTTCATTGGTCCCTCTTCTTTAGAGAAGACCAGGAAATGATGGATACACGGATCGTGTTCAAATCAATAGGCACGCAATGACTCTAAATAATAATGATCACGCCACCAAACACACATTCAAACTAAAGGAACCAGCCTGTTTGGAAAATGTAAGAAGTAGAAAGTACAGGTATTTGTGTTCAACATGTAAGAAGTAGAAAGTACAGGTATTTGTGTTCAAAATGTAAGAAGTAGAAAGTACAGGTATTTGTGTTCAAAATGTAAGAAGTAGAAAGTACAGGTATTTGTGTTCAAAATGTAAGAAGTAGAAAGTACAGGTATTTGTGTTCAAAGTGTAAGAAGTAGAAAGTACAGGTATTTGTGTTCAAAGTGTAAGAAGTAGAAAGTACAGGTATTTGTGTTCAAAGTGTAAGAAGTAGAAAGTACAGGTATTTGTGTTCAAAGTGTAAGAAGTAGAAAGTACAGGTATTTGTGTTCGAAATGTAAGAAGTCAAAGTCAAAAGTCGTCAGTAAAATAAGTAGTGGAGTAAAGTACTGATACCAGAAAAATGTACTTAAGTACAGTAACAAAGTATTTGTACTCCACTACTTCCCACCTCTGACCGGATCCATGCACAAAACACCACATTGTTGCAGTTTTTACTTTCATCCACAAGAGATGTTGTACTCACCAATGGTTGACTAGATGTGGATTTGAGTTTTTGAATCTGATCTACTTTCCTCAGAGTGTGGTGGGGGTCCGGATGCCATGGTGGTGCTGCTGGCGGTGGTGGGCAGCATCCTGCTGGTGGGGGTGGTGCTGCTCGCCGTGTGGAAGTTGGCGATCACCGTTCATGACCGGAGGGAGTTTTCACGTTTCCAGAGCGCAGGGTCACGAGCCCGCTTCGAGATGGTGAGGACTCAATCTACCGTTAAACCAAACATGTTTTATAAAAGTATTTATTTAGTTCCTTTTTTTATGATGCATTCTTATACATATAATCAAGCCAAAAACATGAACATTAAGAATACATTAATGCAACAAACATAATTCAATAAAATAATGTATATTATTCTGAAGTGGGCCATTCTGCTTAATGAGTATTATTTATTACTTCAGTTAGGATTTGTAAAATATCTGAATACCTGAACTGAAATCCAAACTGCTTGAAAAAAGTGCCTGGTTTGTGAGGCGGAAAAATTGTTAATAAACGTGAAATAAAATGCACATTTTCCAGTAAAAATATAGACCCGACCTGATAGCAGGAAATTATTTCTCTTTTTATTTAGTTTCACATATCTTCCTATTTATATTTGTACTTACCGATCCGTTTTAGGTAGGTAGGTAGGGGAGCTTTTTAAGAGAGATTTATAAGTTCAAAGCTCTCATTTCTTTCCTTTGTGTGACGTTCTGTTTTCATCTCTCCCCTCCAGGCCTCCAACCCTCTGTACAAGCAGCCTGTCACGACACATTTTGTAGAAACAGATTTCAACATGTACAGGAAGTCCTACAACGGGGGGGTCCACTGATCCCTCCAAGCGGGGCGCGGCAGGACCGGTCCGACGAAACTCATCCCTGGAGGACACACTTCTCACCTGATAACTCAAGTGACATGAACTACACTTCCTGTTTCCAAGAGGGGAAATCTGTGGCCTTTTTCTATCTTTACGCAGGAGATTCAAGCCTTCCACAGAGACGTGACCTTTTTTCTTCATGACAGCACAACCGTCAGAGGAGCAGCAAAACAAAACATGAACTCCTTGGTCTTGTTTAGAGAGTTAGCAGTGAGTTTGTCTGCAGTTACAAAAACAAAAAAATATGACTCCAACATAAAACCACCATTCAATCTTTGCACAGAGCAGGCAGGCTTATATTTGTATATTTTTATAAACACTAAAAATGCCTTTTTTTTTGTTTTTTTAGTATAAACTTTGCACCCAACAAGACTCATGATTCAAATTCACAGGATTATTAAAAAGCACATGTGTCTGAAGGTGGCTATGATGACGTTGTGGTACTACTAACATTTACTAAGCAATAGACTTCTTACCCTCATTTTGCACAGAGAATATTAAGAGTCAAGTCTCGTAAAGATTTACATTTTCTTCGATGTGTGTGTGTGTGTGTGTGTGTGTGTGTGTGTGTGTGTGTGTGTGTGTGTGTGTGTGTGTGTGTGTGTGTGTGTGTGTGTGTGTGTGTGTGTGTGTGTGTGTGTGTGTGTGTGTGTGTGTGTGTGTGTGTGTGTGTGTGTGTGTGTGTGTGTGTGTGTGTGTGTGTGTGTGTGTGTGTGTGTGTGTGTGTGTGTGTGTGTGTGTGTGTGTGTGTGTGTGTGTGTGTGTGTGTGTTGTGGTAAACTCCAGTTGCACTCCCTTCTCTTAAGCTGAATCATAAGGTACCCGAGCCTAAAGCTCCTGGTTCTTTATATTTCTCTTTTTGTTAACTAATCCCATGAAAAGACCAAAACTAACAATGTGGTAGTGTGTTAATAATACTTTCAGATTTCTTACAGACCCAAAATTCATTTGTTCCTGAAGACATAAATCTTTAAAATACTTCAAAGATATTCCTTTTTCTTAAAGTATTTTGTTAAAAAAAACACTGGACATTACTTCAATATTAGGAAACAGTGAGTAAGTTAGGGACTATTTTCAGAAGCAGATACACAAATATAATACACATTTAAATATCTAGTTTAGTATTTCCAGTAAAGCTAAACCAGTTGTCACTCGATTGGGCAATTAAGTAATAATTGATCTGCAGCTAGTTTAAACATTTCAGTATTTTTCTTTCTTTAAACGATAAAAACATTAAATATTCTTCAGTTTTATTGGTCAGAAACTTTAATTTGCTGCTTTTCCCTGTTTTATAGTAAACATTATAGCTATATTTGGGATTTAGACAGTCACCTTGGGCATTATGATATAGTGGCAGGCTTTAAAAAAAAAAAAGATATCTGACATTTTGTTGACCCAGTGATTAATCAAGAAAACTTTAAAAAGATAATAGAGCGGCTTTATGGCACAGAGGAGTGAGATATCTTCGGATCATTGTTGGTTTTGGTCTTTTGGTTGAATAAAAAAAGGAACAATCGCCAGCCACAAATATAATACACATTTAAATATCTAGTTTAGTATTTCCAGTAAAGCTAAACCAGTTGTCAGTCGATTGGGCAATTAAGTAATAATTGATCTGCAGCTAGTTTAAACATTTCAGTGCCCTTAATCCTAAATAAATATCCAACACTGTGGTAAAAGCACATTTATATGATGATATACATGATAAAGTAGATGTGTTACATGTATGATCATTGGAGATCGTTGGTACTACTTGGACACATGCAGTACTTTGGAAATCATTTGGAAATACAGTATGACCAGGAATCTGTGGAAAAAGCTATCTTAAATCTCAGTGGGACATTCTTGGCTGAATTAAGGATAAATAAACATTGAAAAATGAAGGGCTTCTACTATATGAAGTCCTTGTGATGGTGCGTGCACTGGGAATGGGTGGAAACTTTGAGAAACCTCAGAGAACAGAGTCATAAATCTGGAATTACCCACAGGAATAGTTTGAGCTGTCGCAGGGAAATCTGACAGTGAGAAGAGTTTAAGGAGAGATGAGGGTGCTCTGTGGCCTTTTTTGTCACAGTCTTACAGTAAAAGTGGCAGGGACTTGGAGTTTATGTGTGTGTGTGTGAGGGAGTGAGTGCAAAGAGTGTGTGTAAATATTATAACATGTACATACAGTGCCAAATGAAATGTTTCCAGTTGTGCAGTTTTGAGTAGGTTTGGCTGTGTGTCTTGGCACAGTTTACTAAAAAAAATCAGCCACATCTCCTTCAGTGTCCCTTTACAGACGTGAACAATCTCACATGGATGAACAGACTCACACCACTTCATGTTTATGTAAAACTGCACACAGAGCAAGAACAATAAATCTGCTTATGTCAAAATGCGGGGAGTCTGTTTTGTTTTGTACGTTACATAATTATTAAGAAGAAGTCTGCGTTGGGAGGAGTGGCGTACATCTCACGTCTAATTTTAAACATCACATATTACTGCCTGTACTGTGTGTATATATGCACACTTCAAAGTTTAGTAAAACATCTGTTTGCGGCGCTAACCATGCTCTCACATGTTTGATGTGCGATCTCACAGACAGGAAGGCGGTCTGATGCGTCTCTGATGCTGTAATTTACACATCTCTGGTTAGACCCCTCCCTGTGTGATAATCATTATGACACTGAAGTTTTTACAGAATGACCCTTTAATTATATATTCAGTCACGTCACGTTATTAGAGCAAGTTTCTCAAACAGTGTGATGGTACTTTGATTTTTACAATGGTGTATACAGGTCTTTTTATAGAGCACAGGTAGGGGGGGAAATTCCCAAAGATAAGTGAGATTTCCCGAGACTTAAAGGTGGGGTAGGTAATTTATTTCAGAAACACTTTTTTCAAACATTTACTTTGGTTTAAAGGTGGGGTAGGTAATTTTGGAGAAACCAGCTCGAGTGCGCTAGAATTTGAAAATACACAGCCGGAGAAAATCTGCCACTTCCTTATAGAGCCCCTCCTCCAACACACACGAACGCGCACATGACCAATGAGGGCACGAGATAAGTTTGTGCACAGATGGAAGGCTGACAGGCAGGTAGGCCATCCAGTTATTTTAGCCGGGCCGGCTAAAATGATTGGTCGTACTTTTTACAGTACTACAGCTTCCACAGATGACATTTTTTTATGGATTTTTTGTCAAAGCACTTAAGATATTCATTGCTATCGGGATGTTAAGAGCATTCCATGGAATATAACAAAAAGTGTATCTCGAGCCGGTTTCTCAAACTTACCTACCCCACCTTTAAGTCTTTAATATTCGAGAAAATATTTCTACAAGATTCTCTAAGATTAAATTGAGGAATTTATGGGAAAAAACTGAGTGGTACATTCAGGAGGGAAAACACACATTTTGGAGTAAAAAGTGGATAGAGGTACATTGTACATTTACAAGAAAGAATTAGGAAGAATTTACACGAACACCTGAATATACTCCAAGATTATAAAGACATTTGCAAGAAAAAAATGACAAGTTTACTGAGATTAAAGTCATCAAATTCAAAGGAAAAAAGGCTTTAGGATTACTCAGAAATAAAAAAATCTAAGATCTCTGAGTCCCTCTTTGTGACTTCTTACACAAACGGTTTCCCTAGGCATGAGGAAACCACAGCTGTGATGTGGAACAAGTCAATGTTTGTTCTGTAGTTCCTGTTTGAGGTGAGTTCATAAATCTCTCTGTGTGGGTTTCCTCCCCCCCCTCTCCCCCCTTTGACTGGGTGAGGGTCGCTAGCTGCCAACTCGCTGACATGAAATCACAGGTTAAATCTGTCTGAGGGAGGAAAATAAACCCTGTACAAAGCAGATGTCTGACCCTCATTAACAGAATCAATGTGCTAATTATCTGACCTGACACAACACATGGCTCAGGGGCATGATGGGAAATTGATTTTAAGGAGTGTCTCTGCAAAGTGTACATTTGTTATTTTAGGAAACCTGACTCTTCAAGATGAGTTTTTGCTTTACATAGCACTTTTACCAAACACCTCTCAGTATATTTATATTCTCTATGTCTCTGAAATACTCACACATTGGTTCTGCTTTACCTTTTAGCTTCCAATGCATTTTCAGGGGTCCATTTCTGCATTTAACACAGATTATATATAACATTTTCTTTATGTTAAATGGTATTTAAAGCAACATGCTCTCAGTCCGGTTGTTTACCAATGATTCCCATCTCAGGGTTTAATATTTCAAACAATCTGTGCTAATTTCAAAATGTCTTTTGACGGCTTGTAGGCCCACTGCTACTTTTAGCCGTGCTAGCAGCATCTCAACATCTATAAAATGGTTTGAACATTTTGTACAGATATTCATGGGTGAATCCGACTGACTTTTGTGACCCTCAGTCTTTTTATAAGGTCATACTTTCAATTGGTCGTATACTTTATCAACGGAATTCCCATTAGTTCTGTCTTTAGCCTAGTTTTAGTGAATAGTACCTATGTGTTAGCATGTTTACACGCTAAACTAAGATGGTGAACATGCTAAACTAAGATGGTTAACATGGTTATTTAATACAAGTGTGTTTATAAGATAAGATAAGATGTACTTTATTGATCCCAATTTGGGAAATGTTTGCGTTGCAGCAGCATAAAAGACAAGCCACTATGTTTAGTATGTCATTTAACATTATTATGTTATTCTGATATTGAGCATGTTAGCAAACCAATGTTAGCATTTGTCTCAAAGAACTTCTGTGCCTAAATACAGGCTAACAGGTTAGCTAGCATGGCTCCAGTTGTGTTAAACTCTGTGTTTGGGTGTGCTTGCTAACTTCTTCCTGTGCTGTATAGAGTGGCGAAGTCACGCCCACTTACTTCCGGGTAATGGGACCTTATTTCGGAAAAATTATGCATTGAAGTCAATGGGGAGAGAAAACTTATCTTTCGATCCCGTTTGAATTGTGCCATGAATTACACATATGATGTTTGTCAATCTTAAAAAATAATTTCCATGTCAAAAAAGTCACAGTTTGTCGTAAAACTGTTGAAATATAAGACTATGAAAAATACGTAACTAGAAAGACTACAAATCCCAGAGTCGCGTAAGTGATGTCACAATTGTTTTCCTCCACCATTCAGATACCTAAGATCAGCGCAATATAGATATAATCTATCTATATGGCGCTGGCTAAGATAAGATAACTTTAACAAGATGCCTGTGTGCTTAGTACCAGGTTGTTATTATACCAGCAATGGGTCTTGCTCGTTCTTTTGCTTCCCGTCTGATGAAAGGACCAGGAGTGGCTTGATCAAGTTAGCTACCTAGCTAGTAGCTAGCACGTTAGTTAGCATTACAGCCTTGTCATTTTTATTAGCCTTAACATGAAGTAACATTAAGTAACCCAAAATGTTAAACAGTAAGAGTAGTAGTCATATTTCGTGAACCCTTTGAATAGTACTGTCACCGGTGTGATCATTCTATAATACACCATTTAAGCCCGGGGGAGAAATGCTAACGCTAACGTTAGCATTGGCGATCTTCTCTACTTCATGCTATCTGCACAAATGGTTGACATTAAACATTAAAACGACCAGGCAGTTCAGAGAGAATCAAAGGAAG